TACAAAGAACCATAAGTAGCAAAAATTGTTAAGTATCAGTGATGAAATGAATATAATCATAGTCCTTGTAATAAAGCAGCAAAATAATTAACTGTAAAATGACAGTAAACCGTCATTACAGTTGCAAAACATAATTACATTAAATTTTGATGATCAATACAAGAACCATCCAACCAAGTATAATTTTCATTCACAATTTTATATTTTATTAGAACACAAATTACCAAACTTTCAATGGTCCAAAAAATATACTTTAACTAGCTATTACACTAACTTTACACACTGATCAAGTTTATCGACAGGTAATATTGCAAATACTGTCGACATATTTACAGGTCTGATAGGATAAATTAACAAGGGGAATTACTGATCTACTATAACAAGTTGCGGTAATGAGTTTTTGAGTAAATGGGTGTTTTTCATAAGTTAACGCTAAAAATACCAAAGTGATCAAACCGTCTTATAAATTCGGTATTTTAATCTACAAAATCTGTTATTGTCTTGAAGTCTGCGTTGATTTTTATCGAGATAAAGAATCAGTATACATTTACATACAATTACATTTATACGAGTGTTTTTGTTTAATAATTCAAAAACGAAGCTTCAAACCCTATTTTTGCAAAGGGAAATCTTATTCAGAATTGTGTCTTCTATTACCCCTTTTTGGGAGTTACACGAGTTGTGTGACACACTGTATGCAATTTATGTTTTAATGTCTGCTTGCTTATTATTTAACTTCATAATTATTTAATTTTCCATTTTTCCTTTTGTAGTAAATTATTCACTAGTAAGTCTTGCGACAACCAAAAGATAAAGAGTGAGTATAACATAAAGGGTATAAAAAGGTAGTAAAAGATAAAGAGTATCATTTTTCGTGACACCCTACACTTTGTACCGAAAAGGCAAATGTCCGAATAAGGATTTTTATTTAGAACCTCGCGCGTGAGAACATTAGACCCGCATGGAATATGTATCTATGGTGTCGGCGGATCTTCTCTGATCTCGTATTTTCTCAGTTCCATTATCCCTGAACGTGGGGTTATAATGTATCCGGTTCGGTTAAAGCGTCGAAGCTGTGCGCCAAAGCTACCGTAGCCCATTGTGCTATCCAGCACCGCAACATTGGTGTTAAATTGCAATTATTAATCGCGGTAAGTAAACTATACGAGGCTGCTGCTTCCCTTCGTGCTCATTCCTCTTGCTAGCCTCGAGCATAGCGGTTTCGTCACCTCGTAATTTCGCGATGGCCGCTGCCGTGCTCTGCAGCGAACCCTCGAGCATCCTTCATCTTTCAACATTTTAATTGCTATTGCTTTTGTTAAACAAATTTCAAGATTATTTAATTATTTTTCTGATGAATTACTATAATATTCAAGTGCAAATTGTGAAATGATTTTTTCACGATTTTTCGTGGTATTTTTCTGTGGAAGAAGAGTATGAGTCTTTTTACTCTATTTTCCTGTTTACTGTAATATTTTCAAGTCTGAGTTTTTAACTAATTTTTCTTACAATTTTCCTTAATATTTAATTGTAAAACCTGTGAGAGTTGAAGTAATTTTCCTATCGACTTACCACTGATGCTTAACTAAATAAATATGTCAATTTTTTATTGATTTTTTTATTTATTTAGTACGCTCTTTAATTGTAGAAGAAATGTATGATTCTTAAACTGATTTTTCTCTCAACGTATCGTTAAAAATTTTGTTCGTCAGCGAGGCAAAAAAATTGTTTCAATCATTTGCCTTTTATAATTAAAGTATATCCGAGAGCACAACTAATTAAATTATCGTCATGAACTAATTACAAATTTTTACGTTATTAAAAACTTTTAACTAAGCTCAAGATTGATAGTTTCATTAAAAAAGAATAGAATTTACATGAATGCCTTTGGACTAAGATTACCACACGAGTTACTTTACCTTAGGGTGCAGCTTGATCGCATAATAAAAGCTTAAACTGCTCTCTCGACGAAGATAACACTTATTCCGTAAGCTAAAGCATGAAATTTCGACGATGCATCTCGTGCTAGTTAAAAATAAAAAATCTTTCTTTATCGTCTCACTGAGCTCCGAAGAATTTGACATCATTACCAGACTATCTTTTCATGAGGCGACGTATAAACTTAGCAGCTCTAAAGTCCTCGAACAATAGCGTGAAATATTTAAACCATCGATCTTGTATCAAACTTTTAGTTATAATAAAATTTAAGCAAATTATTTCACACATTGAGTTTAATAGCTCAAAATTATACAAACACTGTCTTTATAATTTTTTTATTATAAACCTATTAAATATTTCTAAATTACACAGACAAATAATATTTACAAGTTTGTGAAATAAAATATAACAATTTGCTTAAAATTTCTATAGTTTTCATATTACACTCGATTATGTACTATGACTGATTCATAATGTGACGATCTTAATAATTCATTTATCAAATTCAGTTTTGTATTTTGTATATGACGTTAAAAATGTATACAATTCATTTTATTACCATTTCTATTTTATTTAAATCACCGATTGATTTATTAATATATAATTGCAGAATAAGTATTAAAATAAAGTAAGTTAATTTATGAAACAAGAAACAGCAGTAAAATATATCAATTTGATTACCGTAAAATTTCGAAATTCCTTTTCCGCAGCAATTTTCACGTAAGAAAACGATTTCCCTCGGGCGCAAATGGCGGCCACGAACGCCCCCGTAATATCCTTAAAATATAAGAGTTATTTTGCAAGGCAAGAATATAATTTGCGAGGAGGACGAAAACGTTATTTGTAAGGAGACGCCCGTGTCAGAATTATCTTGCCACATTTGTCTTTACGTGTTTTGGCATTCTAAGTGCAGGCGTTCCGTTGATATACGACAGCAAAAAGAGTGTCTAAATTTCTAAAAGGGTTCTCTGCTACCCGAATTTCACCGAGAATTTACGCGCACACATGTTGCAATTGCGCACGAAATGAAACGAAATTGCAATATTCGCTTATGAAATTGCGGAGCTAACGAAGAGGAAAAAACTGCGACGTAGATTAGAAAAACATACGACAAGAAGAATAGAGTTAAAAATTCGTTAGACTTTCAACGCGATCGTTCGAGCAAACGAAGAAGTTTAAGAATTTAAAATTTAAATTTAAAGAAGATTAAAAAGATAACGGTAGGAAAACACGAGCGAAAGTTTCAAGAAAATTTTCTACTCTTTGATATTTAAATTTTATCTTTTGTCATTTTCTGTGTATCGCGATTTTATGACCAAAGATTAGGAAATTCTTTCGATAAGTGGCGACGAAATGTTCTTTAAAAGTTTCATGAAAGTTCAGTGGCTTTTGCAGGCGAAATTTTACTTTAAATCTAAGGGGTTTGAACTTCTAGCGAAATCACGATGTCAAAGTAGAAGATTAAGGAATTCGAAACGGCTAGAGGTTTTGCTACAAATGAGAATGTAACTTTGATGTTTCCACAGAACTTTAGAAAGTTTGTTGCGTTTCTTCGTGCTCTGTATTTGCATAAATTCATTGAAGCTCGCGAGAAAGTTTCCTGTGTAATTAACTGTTGGAAAAGTTATTAATTTCGAATGTTATGTTATGCTTTGCATGTGTTAATAATTTGATACATCGTTGATAAAATATATTGCACTTCTGGTACATTGCAACGATGTTAAATATGTCAAATATTTAAACACTATTAATATTTCAGACTATTTTGTAAACATTTTAGAATCTTATATCTGTGAAAATTTGATTTGCTACTCTCAATTCTTTGCATTTTCATCTAGGTTTTTCATTTGCAACTAAAATGACAACTTCAAATATGATAACTTGAAATTTCTAAACTGGAAATTTCTAACCTTGAAATTTCTAAACTTGAAAGTTCATAAATTGTAAAATTTGTAAGCTTAAAAATTCATAAACTTCAAAATTTCAAAATTTAATCGTTGGACGAATATTCTCCCCGCATATCGCCATTGCTGTACAAGAAATCATATAGCTATGAAAATATGAAAATATTCAAGAAAATAAACATGTGGCAAAGTTACGCGTCATAACTTGATAGCTCTCCCAATTTGACGTAGCAAAATGGTGGTTGATTTATGGCAGTCACGGCAGACTACATTTTCTTATCAGGAATTTTCGCACGGCAGAATAATTCGAGAGGCGTTGTGCAACACGTCTACGTCAGTACAAGACACTGATTTGGTATCTACGTGCCTGTCTGGTTGAAATGCAATTGCATACGCGATACCATGTATCGGTACCGTAGCTCCTATATCGAAGTTGAACATTATGCTACCGGAAATAAATCGAGCTCTGTCAGTATGTTGAAACAGAATATCCTATTGGCCATATGTGTAATATATATTATTACTATACCATACACCGTGTGTATAAATTACAAACAAGAATAGAAATTTGCAAATAAGCTGTGCATTTAAGCTCTTGCTTCGAGGGGTCTGACTGGTGACACAGCTCATATGTGACAAATGTTGTAATACTCAACTTGAAATTTAGGTGCAGTTATGATGTATATATGCAAGGATAGTTGAATATAAAGTACTCATGTTTCAATTTCCTTTGTTTATTTTCATATTATAGCTAGGAACAGTTAGTTTTGACTGACGCATCTGATAAATGAATTGCAGAGCATATCTGAGCATATAACACCTTGCCTCGAGGAATCTGTCTCATTGCTTACTGTTCAAATGTGACAAACGTTACTAAAATTTGTAATACTCTTCAACTTGAAGTTTAGGTCTAATTGTAGCGTATGTAGCCAATGATCGCTGAATATAAAATCGTGTTTTAATTTTCTGTGTTTATTTTGATATTATAGCTATGAAGTTTTGACCAACGCAACGTGACAAATGTACGAGTCTAAAGAAGAAATACAAATGTACAAATAATTAAAGTATTCAAATAAAATACAAATTCACAGATAACTTATATAATTGATAAATTGAAGAATAAGAATAAAATTGAAGAATAATTTTGTTCTTTTGCAGTGCCCCGAACAGTGCTCCGAGAACAATACGAAGGCGACGTGGAACCAGACGAGGTGGACCTGATGCACGAGTTCGAGGAAGGTTTCGACAGGGCAGACTTTAGGGCAGAATTCAGCCCCAGTCCAAATCTCGAAGGACCACAACCGCAACCAAGGGATAATGTTTCTCGAAATTTCCCAACGGTCAGCTCATCCCCACCACGTGCTCGGACGAACAATGACGGTGAGTACGACATAACAGTATCGCTGTTTTTTTCTCTTCCGAACTTTGGTGCGGAACTGACCCCGATATGTGCCATTCAAGTTGCTTTTCACGAGCTGCGTTACGTTTCCTCCTCGCACATTGATCCCACGCCGACGGACATTCAGTTTTACGACGCAGCTAGAACGTTCCGTGGAATTAATTCTCGTTCAATTGTGTTGTATTTTCCCGTAAGAAATCAGACGCATGGCGGGAATTTTTAAAACGGTATCTTGTTAGAGCGAAAAATATAATTCGATGAGAATGTTCTATTTATTTTATGGTGGATAATGTGATTCGAAGAGAATGTTTTATAAAATTAATTCATGCTACGATTAATTCATTCATTATATGGTATTTTCCCCGTAAAAAATTAGAGAAATGGCGGGAAATTTGAAAACAGTATCATTTTAGAATTAATAAGAATTAATAATTAAGGTTGATTTAATATTCTATTAATCCTAATAATTAATTAACGGATATACATATAACTACATATGCAAAGATATATAATCTATTAATTTCTGTCCTGAAATTGTCATCTTTCTTGACACAAACAAATTTTAAGAAATACACTCTAATGTTTCTAATATTTTATATTCATAACACAATTAACATTAAAAAATCTTTAAATTCAATTTTTAAATATGAACAAATTCTACATAAATTTTTTCAAATATGTGTAATTTTCCCTTCATTGCATATGCCGTCAATATCGAAACATTTTGCGTAATAAAATATTGAAATATAGAATGAAATTTCTTTCATTACAGCGGTAAAAGTGAATGCTTTATTGTAATACTATTGAAAATACAAGCAATGTAAAAATTGTGCATTAAAAAGTAATAGTACTGTGAATTCTCTTCTCGCACCATTTGATATTTGAATGTTCCGTTATTAAACCTTGCAACACGATATCATGATTAAACGAGAATCTCGTGCAGTTTATAACACAATTAGATACATAATCATCGATAGCTAGCAGATAGTATCACATAACCGTATTATGCGAAATATGTATCGATCGGAATGCATTTTCAAGTTATTTTGATGCAACTCGTATTACACTCGAATGGTACTTATTGTCAGTTATAAAAATACGTTTCAAAATATCATAACAATGGAATTGTCAATTTTAATTAATTTTAAATTTTTGTCAATTTTAAACTTATATTAAATTAAAACAGTATTTCGGAATTTAAGAAGTTGTAACTAATATCATACGTTCATTAATTTATATTTAAACGAACAATTTTAATTGTAAATAAATTTGATAACATATTTTTTATTTTCTGTACATTATTCTTCGCTTTCTATTTTGATAACCAATAAAGAATTATAATTTGTTCTACTTGTATATTTGACTGTATTTATTTCACCTGATCTTCGATAAAAATAAGTGAAAATAATCTTCCCTAATAGTTCTCTATCCTATTAAGCAAGAATTATATTCAAAATTGACGATTCCATTGTGCCATGTGTTCTCTGCATTAATTTCAGCTTGCATGTTTTATGCTTGCACGTTGCATGTGAGTCTAATATGGGGTGTTCTATAGCAATTTCCTAAAACCAATGCGCATCTAATTTCAAGTATATACAGTTGATAAAAAAATGTAAGTTATAAAATGCGAATAATTATCAGTAAATACAGAATAATAAAATGTACATTATAGCAAATACATTATAAATGTACATTATAACAAAGTGTTTTCATGTTTATTCTGTTGATTCAACAAAATGAAATCGCTTTCAAAGCGTGTATCATAATTCATAGAAAGATTAAACCTTCTTGGAAAACTAACCCTGTTCTCAATTGTCATTTGCGATGCCACTTACCACATTCTGTTACCATAAATTGTTCGCACCTTCTTTAAAATGAGTACCTGTTGAAAATGAATATCTTCTTCACAGTAATATCTCGTTACAGCCTTAAATAACATATTCAATAAAATTATCGAAAAGACATAACTTGAATGACAAGAGTGCGTAAACAATTTTTTACTATTTTATAGTACTGTCATTTACAACTCTATTCAAAACCGCCAACAGCCGCAAACTTCTCTAAAAAAAAGGGTTCTCTGCCCCCAAATCCACCATTAGCTTTTCAGCACTTTTTACCATTTTTCCAGGGATTTTGGCCCATATGAAAAAAATTTGATCCCCTAACAAAAAGTCGTATCTGCCGCTCGTACATTTGTATACGTGACGTTCTATTTTCACACTCGATAAGGCAGACATTTACTCTTCATAGAATCATTCATATTGACACGCACATTCTGTCAAAGTTCGAAGCCCCGATTTCTCATATAAACGATAACAGACAGTCATAAACGACATTAGCATACATTTCGAGCAACTTGTCATGGGACACCCTGTACGTCGACCTAAGATCTCGTTGAACCTCCAGTGACACACGATTCACTGCTACGTAAACGTTCAGCAGTAACAAGCCAAAGTCGTTAACATCCAGTGCATATGCGAGCATTAATGTCCGTAAGTAATTAAGGTTAATGCAACGCCGATAGCGCGTTGCTTTATGACTTATACATATAACTCTTACGGCTGATCCCCACGGTCCACGACTACTGTGCCTTCTGTAGTCTTGGCCAATAACGGTGGCGGTTTACCTGATGCTAATAGGAAATCGATAGCGTCGGATTTGTAAACCGAGGCACACGTTCTGTTGCGGCCACGGAAAATAGGAGTACAGATTCAACGGGCGTCGTTGCTCAAAGCGTGATACGCTTCCTGGAATCTGGTCAACGATCGGTCGCGATGGTAGCTGGATTCTAATTGTGTACCCATTGTTACTCGTGTATGGAATCGGACATTTAAGGAAATTCTCGGAATCATTTTTAGAGAGCTACTCATTATTGAGATTTTTAGGAAGGTAGGGTATGTCTCTGTAAGATGGATATCGGTAATAGTGATCACTTGGTACATTGATATAATTAACGAAACATTATTATACATTGATAAAATCAGTAAACATTACTGACACTATAATATGTCGCCGATGTTGGAATGTTAACGATAATTTGATATATCTAAAATGAACTTATATTTCACAAAAGGAAGAAAAAGTCAAGCATATGTGAAGCACATGTGAGAGGTGCCTCAAACGATGGACCAATACATACATCAATACCAACCATAACATCATAATATTAGTGCATTCGAGAGTTTGATATTCTCAAATTTTTGACCATTAAAATTTCCAAATTTCTAAATGTAAGAATGGTCAAATTCAGAAATAATATACACCGTCAATCACATATGAGTTTCTCCTACTGTTGAAACTGTAATCCTTTCATATACTAAACTCATCTGAACAATCTCTCAATTCTTCAACCTCGTGATTTCTACTATTTCTCATCCACTAAAGCTTCAAACAGCTCTCGAACATAATTGGAATAATCGTAGTTCAACTATCTCTTCGCACTTTCATCATTAACGACACGTATTACTCCGTTCAAACGCCGTAAATTTCAAAGAAACACTAGCAAGTGTACTTCAACGGGGGCACCTTTTCAAATTGAACAATACACGTCACGATACATAGGATTTTTTTACCCCTAAGTACTCTCTCTCTCTCTCGGTCGTTTTTCGTCTCACGAGAAAAACTTTCAAGCGAGAACTTTCGTCTCAAACGATGCAAGCGCACATACTCGTAGCTGTATGTGCAATAATGGCCACGATGAAGCAACTCGTCGACAAAAAAGGAAAACAATTGTCGCTTTTTCATGCTTCGCTACCTTCAAGACACTTCTTTCCTCTAGCTTTTTCTTCGGGGTGAGCTAAAAACGTTGTTTCCCCGCGGTCTGATACACCAGCCAGAAGGGAACGTTTATTCCGAAACTTTTCGTGACTGTTTAATTAACAGGACTCTTAGTTAACTGGCTTCCTTCGGGTGAGATAGGGCTGTTGTTCCCAACATTCTTGTCGCGACTGCTGCTTCGCTGTAATTTGCTGTGGTTCTACCTGTTCTTTGCTGCGAAGCTGTTTTATTTTGTCAATCTGAATCTTCTATTAGAGCAAGAAGATAAAGTATCCAATTAGTGACACTTCGTTAAATTTTCATTTTACTTACACGATGCAAATATTGTCTTTTGATAGGAAATTATGGTTAGTATTCTTATTACGTTGTCTTAGTACGTTGTTATAATATGAATTATTGCAATGAAATTGTCCTATACTATACACATACTTATATGTATATTCTTATATGTACATGTATATCACATTTTGTGTTATACGTAAGGAGACTGTTGATGACAGGAACGTGAAATATTTCATTTTAGTTGATAATTATCGGCATTTTTTAGTTTGCCGCGATTTGGTGTTGTACATGTAATAATTTTGAGTTATGAGGACATTTGAAAAGAATGCAAAGGGGTAACGAGTGGAAATGTGAGGCATCAAAATTGTTAATTATTGATTGCTTATAATTTATTGTTATGTTATGGACTGGTAGGTGATCTCTTTGCGGCGCGGGGGCGCTTTATGTGTCCCTGTGGTCGACAAGCCGTGGCTAGGGGGGGCGTTCTACGTCCCTCTGAGGCCTCCATGAAGCCCCGTGAGGGATGATGCTTTGCATCTCCTGTTGTGAGGGTCGACGGACGGAAATTACTTCGGTAATTTTCCGAGACGTACAGGCTAACCTAAGAGCAAAGCCACCAGGATTTTGAATCGTTCTCGGATCGATATCGTCCGTAGTGGGGGTAGGACCACGTGACTCAGCGGGGTCCGTGCCGCTACGGATCGAGTCGCTCTTATCATTCGTTCGTTCGTTCGTTCGCTCGATAGACGCCTCGCAATTCGATCGCACTTACGCCCTTGCCTCGCCTCATTGAATTTATTGTTAAAATCATTTTCCAAGATTGATTCCTTTGTTAATTAGTTTATTGTGATTTCACGTTCCTTATTTTTGTCGATTATTATTCGTTTTCCAAATTAATTCGTATTATTTAACACATATTATT